ACTCATACCCGATGTACCGCTCTATGACGATCCCTCCGATTCAGACGACGGCGAAGGCGAATGGATCACCCCAGCCAACGTCGCGCTACATAAATCTCGAGCACTTGATCTTCTACCCACCGGAGGCCAGGGCAAGCAAGGTAAAGGAAAGAAAAAGGAGGAATATGTGGATGTTGGATGTATGACGGCTGATTTTGCTATGCAAAACGTGTTGATGCAGATGGGACTCAACCTGGTCGGTACGGAAGGGAAGAGGATTCAGAAAGTGAAGACTTGGGTCCTTAGATGCCATGCTTGCTTCAAGTGTGTAATTTGATGGTCAAAAGCCGTGGACAGTACTGATTTCATCAACTCAGAATCTGCCAGGATGCGTCGAAACAGTTCTGCCCAGCATGCGGAAATCCAACACTTATCCGTGCATCAGTAACAATTTCATCACCAGATGCAACTTCCGATACACCTGCAATGCAAGTCCATCTCAAACCTAATTTCCAGTACAAGCTACGAGGGACAAAATATTCGATACCTGCACCAAAACCTGGTTCTGCAAAACACGGCTCAGGAGAAGGGCTCATTCTGAGAGAGGATCAGCTGGAGTATATGCGGGCTAAAAAGCGATTGGAAGGAAAGCAGGAGCGGGAAGAGGCGCGGATGATGAAGGGTCTATTGGAAAGAAGTGCTAAGGGTGAAGGCGGCGTAGCTGTCGGTAGTTGGATGGATCCGGATTGGATACCTGAAATCATATCTGCTAGCGCAGGTGGTAAAGGACGGACGAGCAGATCCAATGGTGATCTGCCTGTGATTGGGCATGGCCGTAAAAATCCCAACGAGAGAAGGAGGAACAAAAAGTAGATACAATGCTTTGATCTTCGCGTCATTATACAGGATCTACTTTGAATCATGCACCCAAACTTCTGTTCATGAAACGTCTCTTCTGGAAGGACATCCACCATTTGCTAGGAATATCACCATCGGCGTAGAGGATAGTCACCAGGCGCAGTGATAGCTCCTGCCGCACCTGAGTGAGATACGAACGAAGGAATTCTGAGTGAAAAGCCGGTCTAAGCATATTGTAACATTCGACTTGATATAATACGCACCAGCATCCGCACGACCTGCAGCAGGTGCATAATGTGCATTTAGTGCAAAGTTGGCATCTCCTGGTATCGGGAAACTGTCCACAGACAAAGTATTTAACGATTTCGTCGCCTCGATCTTGGTTGGCGTCGAGCGAGAGCTGCCGATCTTGGCTAGACAGTCGGATACGAAGAGGATGAGGACAATGAGAGTACGGTCTGCGGGGCCTTTGATTTCAAAGTTACGGAACAGAGAGTTAGCGCGGAATAAGTCGAGAGTTTCATCGATTATATCTGGCTGAGAAGGATCCGCTGTTTATAGATAGTGTTGAGAGTAATTCATCATAGATCACAGGTTGAACACGCACCAAGAGGCGCAACCCCGCGATATCTTGTCTTTATAGGAAGAATTGACATATTTCCGACCTGACGGACATCCGGCTCTTCGTTGAAAGATGAATGGTATGCCTTAAAAACTTCAATTTGCAGAATACCAGTAAAATATATAATTACTCACTGGCATAATGGCGTTCAATGGACAAGATGAGTTCTTTGATGGGACAGCCACCCTTGTTACTGAACATTCATGACGTCGGGATTTCAAAATTTCGAGACTTGACCTTGTACGTTTACCATGTCCGATGGGTTTTCAGCGGAACTTGGAAGTAGCGGCTCAATTCTGCCTCCTACGAAGACGACTAAACCGTCTCCGCAGACGTTGACAAGTAGGCTTTCACTGCTTCACATTGCTACAGTATGAATAATGCTAATTCACCAACAGAACTTGTCAAACGACTTCGTGCTCTTACTCTCAAGCTTCTTCCAGTTGAGGTTGACCCGAAAGCAATTAATGAACCTACAAGTCGAATTATAACGCCTCAAGTAATTTCTGCATACCGCGCCGCTGCTGGAGATTTTGACGAAGCTGTGAGTGAACAACGACCGATGTACACAGTCCGCCACATCTCAAAAATTTACCATCATGCTCTAGCTACCTTACTGTCTCTTACGTGCGCGTGCTGAATTCATGTGGGATGCAGACCACAATGCTGCTGATTATGACGAAAACTTTGGTCGAGGTAGGCTTTCATCCGTCTTAAAAGCATTGTCCACGTGTAATATCGGTTGCCACCTTCACGCTTCCTCTCCATGAAGCAATCGCATGCGAAGTACTTGCGCGTCGAATCGTTCGTTCAAATGTTCCGCCGGAGCGTTTGGCTGCCGTTATGGCTACGAGGTATACACACATACAGATTGACGGGGATGAGAGCGATCCTGCTAGTGCACTGGAGATGGCTATTGATTCGCATTGGTCAGTGGAATCATTTGTGTTTAAGGGTCTTTCAATGACGCGTCTTTCCGTCAGTACGATTTTCTTATCCTCGAGTGAATCTCAAGATGGTCAGGCTCTATCCCGATTTTCATGAAGGATGCAGCTACTAAGACAAGTCTCTCTAGTTGTGAATTCCCTATGGAAGGGTGATTTGATTCAGAAGATGAATGATAAGTTTGACGTTGATTGTGAATTTACATACTTATACTTCCTCCCACTTTTGCCGGACTGATGAACTTTACTTTTGTCGCAGATGTTTCCTACTCGGAGTCTCAGACTGGGAGCTTCTGGAGTCACGTAAATCCATCGCGTCTTTGCGTGCCGCGGTACCAGAACTTTTTCAGAATCGTGGTCTGGTTATTCTTCCTTGTCGTATATTCCCAAGCTGGTTTGTCGGTCTATTCTGCCCACAAAGGCAATCTTTCAAATTGATTTGCCTCCTTCGTGCAGTGCGACAACCTGTGGAACGTCTAGCGGACCCGTCATATACAAATACGATGGATGCTTGGGAAGTCATCCTTTATGTCATTGCTCTGTCGACGCTTGTTGAAGGTGAATAGTCACTACTTGGCTTACATCAAGTTTCTGTCGCTCACGACCTTTGTTTTCCAGACATGAACAGAGTAAATCGTTGCATCTCCTAGTAGTCTGCTCTCCCTGATGCGCTTTTTCATTTATGTAGTTATTCAAGCTCCTTAGATTCGTCACTTGGCGTGCCTTTTCCTTCTGGAACATTGTAGCTTCTGTTACGAACTCATTGCTGCTGGCTGCTTTCATCCTCCGCATGGTTGGCTTGCATGATAACACTGATTATTCCGCTACATTGCGTCTGAATAGTTTTCAAGTGCTGAGTTTTGTTGCACCGTTCATTTGGTGAGTGTTTTGTCACTGCCTTACCGTATTCTATGCTGATCATCCTGATTTTTTGGTGGGTCGGTTATAGGATGAGTGTGTATCGTTTATGATTCTTTACTGTGGTGGTTGACCTCTTTTCGATGATCAGGGCTCATCACGGTCTTTGACGGATACAAATATGTCGGAATGATGCAAATTTGCGTTGCTCGTATGCTACAAGAATCTAGCATCTTCTTTGCCGTGAGCACTCCTAGAGTTCATCCATCATCACCATTGATTAAGTCATCGTATAGCTACTTTCAATCTTGGCCCTTGGATTCGGACAAGCGATGTACGCATTGGATGCTGCAGATGGGACTACTGAAGCTCCTTCAGGAGTGAGCTTCTCATTTGTCTGTGTAAGAATAGGTGTCCTTGAACGATGCTTCAATACAGGTGGTCAACGCATTGGTGCAGGCGTTACTTCAGTGGGTCTATCAAACTTCTGATCTGAATGTTCATACTGATCCCTGTTTCAGGTCACCCGATTTTTCGCGGTATGCATCTAGGTGAATTACATCGTCAGTTTCAACAAGCACCTTTGTAGCCGCGACTGATACGACATTTTTGCTCGCAGTCCCTCGGGGTTGACTATGTATTACCTGTACGTCTCTCGTCTTCGGTTCAAGGTTCAAGGTTAACCTTCGGTCTCTCTGATACTCACAGCTGGAACGTTGTGACGGTCATTGTTCTCCTCAACGTACTCATTTCGCTGTTCGCTTCAGCATATCAAGATGTAAGTACACTACCATCTCGACCGTTGTCCTCGAAAATGAAATCTAAGCACTCTTTTCTCGCTAGGTCGTGGATGATGCAGAGGCGCAGTATCTTGCCTTTTTCGCAGGGAAAACTGTAGGCATGATTCGAGCGCCGGACTCGTACGTTTATCCAGCCCCGTTCAATTTAATTGAAACGTTCCTCGTTTCACCGTTTGAGTGCGTCTTTTCTTGCACTCCTGTCTACTGAGAGAAAGCAAACTCATGAGATTTTTATGATGTAGATACTGGTTCAGTGAAAAACGATACGCAAAGGTTAGTCTCGCGCGACTGCTTGTCACGATGCGCCCCACGAAAGAGAGCTGACATTCAACTTTCGACTAGTTGAACCGCATAATCATGTCCGTGCTCTTCTTCATCCCTCTCACCGCTATCGCTTTCTACGAAACCGTATTCACACGACAAGAAAACGATTGGATGACCAACTGGTTGCACGGGGACAACGAAGGAGATAATGCATACCCAGAAGCCAGGGATCCTGAAGTCGATGGATCGGATGCGGATACTGGGTTGAGGATAAGCAAGGTGCCGTTCGCAGAGTTGGTCAAGGTGTTCCCGAATACGGCACAGTCGAGTGAGGCGTTGATGTTGGAGGAGATCAGAGGGTTAAGGAAGCAGTTGGATATGGTGATGAGGAAAATTGAGGTGAATGGAAAGAATGGAGGTGAGAAGGAGGAGGGAGAGGATTGAGTGAAAGAACTTTGTTGCTACCTATTTCTGGGTAAAAATCTGTAGTGCTGGATTTTGATTACGCTTTTGTAGTTTTTACAGGCAATTATCAATCTTTGAAAGCCTCATTGGAAGATGCGCATTGTGACATCCTCGATCTGGGAGTGTAGTACGTAGCATATATATCCGAAACGATTTCTCTACCGATACTCACCAATATATAATTGAACGGTGACCAAGAAAAAAAATTCCCTCCCTGGCTGGGAGTCGAACCCAGCTTTCGCGCGGTGATGCACCCAGATGACAGGCGCGTGTACTAACCGATATACTACCAGGGATTGTTTATATGTGAAATGTGAAGACCTTGTCATAATACGCAATATCAAATTTGGATTTCTTTACATGGTAATACTTTCTTCCACTTACCACGATGTCGTTACCACAATCTTTGCGAACTTCTGTAACACCTCCAGAACTTGAACTCATCGCCTCCCAACAACTGATAGAGATCATCCCTCTCATCGCTGTAGAAAAGACTGCCTTCATATCTGTCCGTAGCTCGCGCCTTTACTAGCAAATCAGTCCACCTTACCTTGGATCCTTACTTACGCTTGGGTTAATGGACTTGGAACTACTTAGGGTGCTTTCGGCCCTCTACAACCGCCCAGAAAGGCCCAAATCCCATTGTGGATGGCAATCAATCTAAAATTGAAGAAGAAATGCCATATCGTTGCTCCGGAATGGCTTAGTGTTGGTACGCGTTTTCCTCAAGCTCCCTGACGCGAGACGGCGACTTATATGTTCTTGTAGAATTCTTGCAGTCTCGCCTCGATGAAGAAATTAATGAGCCAGGATTTAGTAAGCTTCCGTTCCGATACGCGGAAGTGTCGAAACTGTTGTTGGATGTGCAAGTCACCTTGTTTTCTTCATATTATCAATATCTTTTAGCCTAATACGCTGGTCACAGTGCGCCAGATGATATTCAAAGTACAGATAAAATACGATATCTGTTGAAGGACCTGAGGGAAGCGCGTCAAGCAAAGAGTCGTGAGGGTGTGGATCAGATAAATCGGGGTGAACTCAGTGTGCGTGTCCTGTTTTGTTTGACTAAGAACTTTAACTGAGCTTTAGGAAACAGTTATCGAACTTGTGCTCGATGGAAATTAACGAGATTCGACCATTCTTTGTACATGCCATGGGAATACTCACTCATCTACATCGCGATGCGTCTGCTGAAGACCAACCATGATACTCTATGTCTGTAACAGAAATAATGAAATTTACGTCTTTTGCTTTCGCTTCCCTCTGTACATCGCATCCCAAAACAAACAGCAGGGTTGAATCTGCTTTTTAAATCCACCTCTACGCGCTTACGGGACGGTGGATGGACGGCATCGGGTATGTGTCTCGATGAAGATCTAATTACAACGAGATTGCCTGATGGTGGACTTCCTACTCATGCTCGTGTCGACGACTGGTGTAGTTCTGGCTAAAGATTTGGATTTTCTCTTGTGCTCCGTCCCGTCTGTGTATATGGGAAATGACGTCTTTTATGACCCATCTGTGCTGCAAACTTATACTTAATGCACTCATATCCAAACGATTGCTACTCCGAGTCATAATGAGGCTTTCTGGATCCTGCTACTGCCATGCTCTCGAATACAAGCTGGAGCTAGAGTCACCCGAAGCGGCACGAACGTCGCTTTGTCATTGCTCGAGCTGTAGAGTACTAAGTCTAATCATAATTGTGGTGGCCTTTCTATACTAATTCTTGACCTCACCTGACAGAAAGCCTTTGGAACAAACTATGGCTTGACTGCAAAAGTCCCACTGATATCGTTCCAGTACACTTCTGGCAAACCTAAGGAGTTTGTGGGAGACAACGGCTCCGGAACAATCCTTCACCGCGAATTCTGTGACAATTGTGGTAGTTTCATCCTTGAGTATGGGGTGAGTGCAATTTCAACCGTGTTGCTCTTCGTCAACTCGGAGATTTCCTACTTGCTCATTCTCATGACCGTCAGGACCCAGTGAAGGATGACTTCCGTTTCATCTGTCTCGGTAGTTTGGACGAGCCAGATGCGCTGCCTCCCAAGGGAGAGTTCTTCTGTGAGAGTCGTTCAACGTGGATGCCTGAAATCCCAGGTACCATGATCACTTTGCTTTTGAAAGAAAGAAAGCAAGACTTACGATTTGGGCAGGTGTTTTTCACAAGATGAAGATCCAGGAGTAAGAATAATATTTTCTGTTTAACTCTCATCCTTTTGCAATCAGCTATTATACAAAATCCATGTCGATGCTTCCGGAATACTAAAATTCTTTGTCGATTTTTTACCAAATACATTCCGAATTTGCGAATTAGGGGGAGAATAATCGTAATCATGCTTACTTAACTCATAGTGCTTGAGTAATCATGTGTGATCACGAATAACTGGATTTTGCGCCACTGGCTAGAGTTATGAGCGCTAAATAGATTTTCTGTATCTGGAAGCTCACTCACTGCTCGTCTCTCTCGATCCCACAGTAGCAACTATGACATTGAATGACATGAAGTGATACAAAATGACTCTGAACATGCCTCCAGTCAAAGATAGCTCAGTTCATGATGTTGAGCTTGATGTCCAAATCCAGTTACTTTTGGTAAAACTTCACGCCTTCCCGAGTATACCTTGAATTCTGACATTGCACCAAGTCTAGGCTCCATTCCTATCATTAGATGCTGCTTATGAGCTCTAGTATGCATTCAGACTTAACTTAGGAAAGGTATCCGCTTGGTCTTGGAGGTAGAGTTTCGGATGGCCGACAAAGGTTAAAGCAGACCCCATTCATCTAGTATGGTTTGAACAATTTCTCTATCTTAGAATATTGGACCATCAGAAGGAGAGCCGTTGCTAAGGCTTCCTATATAGAGCCTTTCCGAACCCGAATCCGGGCGCCAGGAATATCAGACACACTCCTATTACATTGACTTTCATTGCCTTCCCTACGTTGAGAAACCCCTCAAAACAGAAGAGACTGTCCTTGAGACTTCATGGCATCTTCTTCAGGATACTCACATATCCTCAACTGGTCTCCACAGCCCTCCTGCGAGACGTCCAGGTCATGTCGTGAGCATGATCAGGACGGTGTTCTTCAGCTTTTCGAACCCCCTCCGGAGAAATCAACCATCCCGACTTATCTCTCTTTCAACGACCTTGCAGTTGTTGATCCGTCACTAGGTGTACACCTTTCACGGCTCTCTTTTATGGCAGCATTACCATCTTCCTCCCCATTCTTTGAAATTCCAGCTCCAATATCCACGAGTCCAGTATTTCGTTGGTCAACAGGGGCTAATCTTGATCCTCAATACTACCTTTACACCTACCTGCTCTCACCTATCTCTCGACTTCCGGATGAGCTCCTCGGCCAGATTTTTTACGAGTTCGTCATGTCGTTCCCTTGGGTCCATTTGAATAATACGACTTCGGAGGACGGGTCTTCCAAAAGACAACTCGCTCCTTTCAGCTTGATGCAAATATGTTCTCGATGGCGGAACGTGTGCATATCGACGTCAAAGCTCTGGGTTTATCATCATGTTCCGCTCTATAGGTACGTATACGCATATGGTTACTATAATTTGAATGCCTCATAACACGTCGGACAGATCCAAATCCTCATCCAGCCATCAGTCACAGCAAGATCCATTCGAGTCTTACATCAACTTAACGCACTACACTAGACTGGCCTTGTTCCGCTCTAAAGGCTGCCCTCTCCACGTCCATATCACCATTTTGCCGGCCAATCCCGTAGCGGCAGCAGCGGGTTTGTTGTTTGATGTTTCAGATAGGTGGCAGAGTGCATACATCGCTATCGGGTCAAGCTCTACCTCTGCGGCACCGTGTCTCTCTGCGAGACAGTTCCTGACGGGTTTAAGGTATCCAATTTTGGAAGAACTCACTTTGGAGTATGATTCGAGCGGGTCAACTGAGGAGCAGGTTGAATATTGTCTCCCATCGTTTGTGCGTTCACCGAAGCTGCATACATTGAGGGTGGTAAAGATGAGGTGGTGGCCTGCGTGGGATTCGCAGTCAGAGTCTTCCGATGCCGTTCTCAGTGATATTGTGGACGGTATAAATGGAGACCTCGACCACGGGGATCGCGGTGAAGTTTCGGAAGGAGAAATAGAACGTCGGCCTCTTCCACACCTCCCCTACTCACAAATTCGGATCTTGACAGGGAGTGCATCCTTACCGACGTTATACACCCTCCTCAAATTGTGCTCTAATCTTGAAACGGTGGAGGTTGATCAAGAACGGTTTCCTGCTCTTGCGCTTCCACCTCCGGCTGCGCTCGATTTGGAGACAGCAGTGGGAAGAGTTACTTCGCCTACATCTCAACCCCACCATAACTACAGCCACATCTACGACTGGAATAGTACTTTTACTAGTTCCACGACTGCTTCCTTTGATAATGGATTCCTCAAGAATATCGCAATAGATGCTCCACACCTCCGCACCCTCAGTCTCTCTCTAGCCACTGATCAACCTCCGCTCACGAACTGGATCCGACGTTCACCGTCATTGAGGACACTCTCGCTAACAGGAGGAAAGCTTACCTCGAAGGTTGTTCACGATCAGGTGGTGAATGACATGATTGGATTTTTGCACCGTCAGCGATTTTTCTCATGCGGCGGATTAGAAACTTCGAGTCGATCAGAAAGCTTCAGTGGATTGGAAAACTTCACTCTTTCGACGGTAGAAATAACATCGAGGCAGCTCATTGAGTTGTTCACTCATATGCCGGAGTTGAGGCAGCTAAAACTGGGTAGACATGCGTGGGGGCCGAGATCGTATTTGGGGGAACTACGAGGTGAAGGTGGCGAGGTGCTTGGGCGATTAAGGGTACCGAGGGCTCGATTGACATCTGAGTCTAAACCTCAGTCCACTTTCACCCAACGTGACATTGCTAGTAGTGAATGCGGGATAAAGAAAGGAAAAGGCCATGATCAGTGCCATCGGATCTTGCTCCCACGACTTACGAGCTTTTCTCTGTATTTCCCGCGACCTCCTGTCCAGACAGAGTTTGAAGAGTTGCTTGATGTCCTCGAGTCCAGGGCGGTTCCGGGGACATCAGGCATGGCAGTGCCAGTGTCGGTGCAATGTACAGCGGAATTGAGCATGGTCGAATTCGATGTTGATATTCCTGGTGGGTTGGCTATGATGTTGGGGCAATCGGGTTGGGCGTCGTATAGACAAAGGGTACTGAAGGTGGTCGGCATGAGTGAAGGAGAGGCCATAGAGTCATCTGGCTGAAGTTTTTCGGGCACGCGTCCTGATCTCGATTTGGTAGATATTGTGCT